CTTACTCGTAATGATCATTAGCTTTATCTAGAAAGTTTACTAGACGTTGTCTATATTCCTCTATGGGATTGACTTCTCTTTTTAATGCTTCTACATTTTTAACCATCTCTCATGCCTTCTTCACTGTTTTGCAAACTTGATTGGCCGTATGCTCTATATACTGTTGCCTTTTTAAGCTTTCTGCTTTTCATATCATGCGGGCATCTTTTTTTAAATCACATGCAAAGATCCAATCTTTTTCTCTTTTCTGTCACTTATCTATTATTGCTAAAATATGGTTCTTTTGGTATTATAGTTGCAGCTCCAACCTTTGGATCAGATGGTGAAGTGATTCTTTTTTATTTAGTACTTTAAGATGTTTTTTTCTCTCTTTTACGAGCTTGGATTTCAACATTTTCTTTTTTTTTGGCATTCCACCAATTTTGCTGAAGTTGTAGAGTATAACCTCTTTCAATTCTAACATTCTTGAAAAATTCTAGTGTCTCTTCTTGCTTTTCTTTATACTTGCTTTTTCATTGGTTCATTTTCTTTTGGAGCTCATCCATTTCGCATTATCGATTAAGGTAAGACTTGGTGACTTTTTTAATTTTGAATTGAACTCGCAACCTCTTATTCTCTTAGTGCAGATCTTTCAAATCATTGTTAACCATATCTCGTTCTTTTATGATCTTTTTTAATTTGCTTCTTTGTATTTCTACTTTATATTTCAATTGTCCCACCTTCTCACGAAGTCTCAAATTTTCTCTTTTTATTTCTTCTTTTTTAACTTTTAATTCTTTCTTGACAAGCTCAACTTCTGATAATTGCACTTATTCTGAAAGATTAGTCGATTGATATGGGTTGTCATCAGGAGAAAGTACTGTCTCTAGGCCATTTTGCTTTCCAAATCTGATAATCAAGAGTGACTTTATCGATGAGAGGCCCTAATCTCATTCTTCGTATTTTCTTCTATGCTTGAATCAATTGCTCCGAGATTCTTAGTAGATTTGGTTCTTTGTAAAATGAATTCTACCTGAACCAAGCCATAAGTAGCATGAACAAATTACTTTGCATCAAATTATCGAAGCACCATCAATAGAGCTAACTCACAACACCCCATAGTCCTAATAGAGGTATCCACGGCTCATTTTCTCCACGATACAACAAAGGTATACGAGGTATCCAAGGCGTCATCCATTCAATTTCATCCTCCTTAAGCTTTCGTAAGAAAAGACCCATTCTTCTTTAGTCTTTAATGTTGACCATCAATTTTTGTAGAACTCTTCAATTGGTGTTGTATTTGGTAGATATGACTTTGAGAATGCATTCTTCCCGCACTTGAAATGACTTATAACCCATACATATAATAGCGGTACGTACCTTATGAACCATCTTTTTCCATTCCATTAATAGAAATTCAATGACCTAATGGTTTCAACTAGAAATACTGAAACACGATTAATTGTTTAGTTTTTAATTTGCTTAAAAAAGTCTACCACAGTTATCTCAATGTAACCCAAAGTCTTCGGAAAGATTACCATTCCATACAATACTAGAGCAAACATAACCATGCCTTAGTTATCATTTAAATGCTCTTGAATGAAGTTTCGAAGAAAGTCCCAATGAATGCCAAGATGTTCACCTTAGGCTTCGTGAAGAAATCAATTGTTTTCACTTTAACCCCCATAAGCTTGGTCAACTTTTTACGATAACATGATTTTGGCTTTCGGGTAAATACCTTATTTGGACACTATAGTTCTATCCTGAGCAAAATCGAATATTCTTCAATAGTCGACACCAAATCTTTCTGATTAAAAGCAAAACATCTATAGGATAAATCCCAAAACTATATAGTTACCCTAATCAATTGTTTATCAATTACTACCAGAATGAAGGATGCAATATGCTCGTACTTTTTACAAAAGCTTTCTTTTCTTTCTTCATTTAAATGACTCCAGATAGTGGCTAAGTCTTCTAAATCATTTTGTGTGAGATCCAAATGCACCTTTTTCGGGTAACTCAGACACATAACCAATAAGAAGGCAATCTCTACTATTTTGTTGGGTTTTTTTTTTATAAAACATATACTTTATTATATGGCTCACATGAGACACTGACTGAAAATGAGCAAATTTGTAGTTCTATGGGATCCATGAAAACTTCTTGGGAGAAAAATGTCCTAGAATAAATATCTTGATGTAGAACTGTATGATATGATTAATGTAAAAAAAAATGAAAGAAAATAAAATTGAGTTAGTACGAAGATGTGGTTTGAGAAAAAAAGGTCGTTTTTTGTTTTGTTTTGAGATTTTTTGTTTCGTTTTGTTTTGTTTTGTATTCTTACATGTTTTGGACTTAGGTATTTTCTAAAAAATTTGATGGGCGAAGCTCTACTTAAGATTGGCTTTTTATATACTTGATTTAGATTGACACGTGTCTAAAGGTTGCCAAATTGTTTCTCACTGTCATCCACGCTGGACTAGTGAGACACTCCGATCCTCACCTATTACAGGCTACGAATGGAAATGGTTTAATTCGAGTGAAAGTATTTCGCTTGTCATTACGGAGGTTATCACCTCACGAGGGCATAGGTACTTTACTTCCTCTTATAAGGGACGGAGCCGGGTATAAAGTTCATGTATGAGATATATCGTGTCATTGTGTGTGCAAATATAACCTAATTTATTAAAAGTAATATATACAGAAAAATAAAGCATAAAAGGCATAGTAAAAGAAACATGTGTGAATTTTTTCCTTTTTGTTTTTGATTTGTTTTTTTTTTTACTTTTTTTGTTGAAAGTGAAAAATAAAAATCTAAAAAACCAATTAGGACTGTTTAAATTAAAATTTGAGGATAACACATAGTTAATTTTAACCTAACTCTCGAAAACAAATGGCATCCCCAGTAGAGTTGCCAAGTTGTTGTAAAGGTTTTGTGTTTGTCCGAAGAATTTGGAAAAAAAATAAAAAAAGAGTGGTCACCAATCTTTTTTGGCTAGGTGTGATTGACCACCTATTAAAATTTATCCTTTTAATAAGATTTTAAAATTAATTAAAATTTATTAAAAAGATAATTTTATGGTTTACGAAATAGTTTAAGTTCGGGAGTCGGTTACACGTGAGGAAGGATTAGCAGTCCCACAGCACACATTTAAAAATGGTATTACTTAACTATGCGTTATCCTTTGATTTTGATAAAAACAATCTCATTTTCGGTGTTTGAAAAATAATTTTCTTAATTTTTTCATTTTTTGGAAATTATTTTTGTTTTTTTTAATTATTATTTATTGTTTCATTTTTATTCAAGAAAAATAAATCAGAACCTTTTTATTGAAATAATTCTTAAAATGTTTCAATACGTTGGTAATATTAGAAAAACTTTATCTCACTTAAAGATTTTTTAGGCATCACTTCTCGGAATACCTTAGAATTTCATCCTCGGATAAAAATTTTCTTTTTCTACATTTTTTATTACTTATTCTTTAGTTTATTAGTTAATTTTTATTTACTATTTTATAAAAAAGAAAAAAATTTTATTGTATTGAAAATTTTTTATAAATACTCCAATACATTGGTAGTATTTTAAAAAAATATACTGGTAGTATTTAAAAAAAAATCTTCTCACCTAAAAATTTTATAGGTATCATTACTCAGAGTGCCGTTGAATCTCATCGTCGGATAAAAATTTCTTTTTTCTACATTTTTTATTATTTTATAAGGTTTATTCTAAAATTAACAAAATTATCAAAAAATTTATTATATATTTCATTATTTATTTTTATTAATTATTAGTATAAAACAAAAAAAAATTATTCTAGCAAATTTAAACATTTGAACATGTATAAATATTAAAAATAAAATTTAAAATAACAAAATTAATATTTAAAAAATAAAAAAAAATTCAAAAAATTTCTTTTTTTACCTAAACCAGACCGGTCAATGATTCGATTAATGTCGGTTTGGGTGGTTCGGCGATTCGGAGCTGATCTGGTTTACTCCGGGTCGATTCAGCTAGATTGGTTTGGGTCTTGTATAAAGGTGGGTCACGAGTCAAATGCACGGATCTTGGGTTGGGCTAGGCTGACGTGGGGATCCTCTTGGGGTTAAAATGACATCGTTTTAGTCCTTTAATGAAACATCATCGTTTTAGGCTATCAACTTTTTATGAAACTTAAAAAAAAATTTTCTCTCATTTTTTCTCTTCTCCCTCTCTTAGACCCTCTCTCTCTATCCAATAGGCCGGTCATCGTCGACCGTCGTTGATGGTCGATCGTCAGTCATCGGCAATCGTAATCGGTTGTCAAAAAATTTAAAAAAATCTCAAAACACTTCCCTCGACCCCTTAAACCTAAATTCAACCTCCTTTTTACCAAAAAAGGTTTCAAATCTCCTAGATCTGCCATCTAACTTTCGATCAAACTTTTTTTCCTTGACTGACTTTGCTTCTTTTTTTGCAAAGGCTCTTGGCGCTAGGCTTCCCGTTCCAAGGAATTGTGTTTTTTTATTTTGGTGTTTTGACTCCTCTTTTTTTTTCTCATAGAAAGCTTTTTTTTTTTAACTTGGCAGTGCTATTTTTATTTTTGGATCTCTTTTTTTTGTTTTTGATAGTCTCCCCCTGTTAGTATTTTTTGCAACTCTATTTATAGAGCAAAAGGAAAATCAAAATCTCAAAAAATTTGAGATTTTAATTGCCTATGATTATGGTGGCCATCGACTATTAAAACGATTATCGGTGACTGTCAGAGTTGTTGGTAACTGTAAGTGATTATCAGAGTCATTGAAAGTACGACTAACACCAGTGGTTGACAAAAAAACTACCAAAAAAAATTAATTAATTAATGAAATGATGTCTATAATATGTAAATAATTTTTAAATTGTAAATTAATTAATGTAGCACATATTATAGCAACAGTCCTTCTGGAGATGAGTTAAAACTAAAAATCAATTTGGCAATAATTGTAAAACCACAAAAGAATGATTCAGTCAGAATAAGACACGTAAACCTATAAAAAAAACGAATTAAGTAGCCACCACATTTGCACCTCTGCGTTTTGTTAACACTATAAGAATCGAGTTGGAAACCTCAACCTCAACCAACAGAACTCAAACACAAATAAGAATAGAAATCTCCCTCAATCTCAGACTTGTTCTCAGCGTTTCCTAGGTAAATCTTTTATTCGGCACTCTTCATCTTTTTTCTTTTATCTGATGGAAAATTATTATGGTGTAGGGCTGAAGATGGAAGCAGCCACCGTCACAGCCACTCCGGTTGGATCTCCTATGACTCTACGTCGACCTTCAAGCTCGGTTACCATGTCGGCTGTTTTGACTGCCAACGGCCCCTATTTTCTACGTTTCGCTGCCAATGCTTTCTTCCCCTGCCCGATTAAGGTCTCAATTTAGCTTTGTACTGTTTTGTTAGTTTTTTTATTTATTATTTTCTCTTTTTGTTTTTTTCCCGGCTGTTAGATCCTTCATTTCTTTTTTACTTCGTTTCGGCGTATGTGTAATCTAAGAGGGAAAAAAGTGAGCAAATCCACCAGGCCTGGAACACATTTTTCAGCTGATCATGAATTTTTTTTTTAAAGGTTGTGGAAATTAACATGCATCAAATTACATAGTACATGCTAATTCTTCATCCTGTTTCCATAGGCTAGGGTTGTGATGGTTCCATTTAATTTTTGTATTTGTGCAGTCTGCTAAACAGGTTTTTGCAATTCTATTACTGAGGTTTTTTTTCCAAGTGCATTTTTGGATTGATACGGTCATTTGGATATCAAAGTTACTTTGGAACTCTGTAGTTGATTTGGTGTTTTTCTGTTTATCATTGCAGCATTATTCTTCAGTTTCTTATTCAAAATCACGGAGGAGGAGAATGGCTTTGGGGGCATCATCATCTCATGATTCAACTGAACCCACTTCTCCAATTGCACCACTTCAGATGGAGTCTCCAATTGGGCAGTTTTTGTCTCAAATCTTGATAACTCATCCGCATCTTGTGCCTGTGGCAGTTGAGCAGCAGCTTGAACAGCTTCAAACTGACCGTGATGCTGAGCAAAAGAAGGAAGAGCCATCTACTTCGGGCACGGATTTAATATTGTATAGGTTGCTGACTCCTCTTACTATATAGTGGTTACTATTATAGACTTGACGTGAAAATTTCTATCTCATGGAAAAAGTTTGAATTTATTGCAGGAGAATTGCTGAGGTTAAGGCTAATGAGCGAAAAAGGGCTTTAGAAGAGATCCTTTACACATTGGTCGTACAAAGGTTTATGGATGCCAATGTTTCTTTGGTGCCTGCAATAACTCCTTCCTTTACAGATCCCTTGGGTTGATTGGACATGTGGCCAAGCGAAGAAGACAAGCTTGAGCAGCTTCACTCACCTGAGGCCTATGAGATGATCCAAAACCACCTAGCTTTAATTTTGGGAAATCAATTGGGTGATTCAACATCTGTAGCACAGATAAGTAAACTTAGGGTTGGGCAGGTCTATGCTGCATCAGTGATGTATGGGTACTTCCTGAAGCGGGTTGACCAGCGATTTCAACTTGAGAAGACCATGAAAATCCTTCCAAATGCTTCAGATGGTGAAGAAAGTAGTATTAAGCAAGCTGTGGGGGAGGACATGGGACCTTCTGGTCTAGGGAACTCCTATCAAGCTGTTTCATCACACCCTGAAGTCTCATCTTGGTCTGGTGGCGGCAGTCCTGGAGATTTTGGTCACAGGATAAAGCCTTCTCGATTGCGGACTTATGTGATGTCCTTTGATGGGGAGACACTATAGAGATATGCTACAATCAGATCAAAAGAAGCTGTTAGCATTATTGAGAAGCACACAGAGACCCTCTTTGGAAGACCTGAGATTGTTATAACTCCTCAGGGGACTGTTGGTTCTTCCAAGGATGAGCTTATTAAGATAAGCTTTGGTGGTTTGAAGAGACTTGTTTTGGAGGCTGTCACTTTTGGTTCTTTTCTTTGGGATGTTGAAAGCTACGTGGATTCAAGGTACCATTTTGTTGTGAATTAGCTATGTTGAATTACATCCCTGCCAAAGCTAACTTTGTAGTGGGAACTCAGCTGCCCAAACTATGGTTTAATTGAATGTAAATTTGGTGACTGTTACTTAGTAATTTGCACTGATGATTCTGTATATAGTTATGTTTTCCTGTTGGAACTTGCATCTTAACACAAACAGCTGTTCTTCTGAAATTTGTCTTTTTATTCCTCTTTGAATTTACAACTGGAATGTATATATGCAATGGTAACGTCTGAACTGTGACATTTGGATGTTATTTGGTTTGAATTCATCTGATTTATTTTCCATATCATCCAATTGCATCGAGTCAACGTGATGCATTAGTTTACTTGGCATGCTACCTGCTTGTTGGATCCATTATTTCACTCAACCCTGAATTCCATATAAATTATGTAAATGAATGTAGTGAATTAGGTTTAATTCTTGACTATAAACTACAGGACACAGAATTTAAAAATCTAGAATGGTATTCCAAATACCATCCCCTCCTCCCTACCAAAAACCAAATAGAAAAATAAAAAAAGAAATACAAGAGTCGAAGTGAATGGATTAAGCATTTTTCCTTTTTCTGCTATCAGGCACGTTGTACCCTACTGATGACTACTGATGAGATTGAGCTTTATTCAACATAGATTTTTGTGTCTTAACTTTGGATGCCTGTGGCTAGTTTGGATGTTTAAGTTTTTCAGGATGGACAATGATTCAGTTTTTGTTGTTTATTACAGTCGTGTGTTCCAAACCGATATCTCATCACGTCCTTTTCAAATTCTATATTATGAGGATGCAATAGGGTTTAAAATAATATTGCTATCAGCACATCAAATTATTTATGATGCTGCAGGTTCTCCCGTAACTGCTTTCTTGATATGATCTGAAGGATTAAAGAAGGCAATATACGTTTGCAGGGTGCTAAGATCTTTCTGATCTTATGGAATACAAGATCAAATGGTAGAGAGTATGGTGAACAACTAGGTACCTGATGTGATTATAGGTGCTGCCATGTAAGAAGGCATATGGATGAATAACAGCATACCTTTGAGATGCTTGTTGCTTTTAATTGGCAAGCTTTGCAGCACTTCATTTAGGTGAGTTTTATTGTCTGATTGGACTAATTGTGTCAAGCGTTCGGGTACTTCACTAAAGTGTCACTTCTGGTTGGTTGATGTGTTTGGGCGTTGGGACATCACAACAAATTCAGAATTTCAGGTGCTATTGTGTTACCAAAAGAAAACTGAATATATTTTGCAAGAAAAACCTTCATGCAAAATGCAATGCTTAGCTTATTGGAGTTATTCTTAAGAAATAATATCCAGTAAATCTGATATTTGAATCCCAGTTCTTTTAACTCCTTCCCTTATCTCCATATTACAGCCCCCTATGTATAAAAAATTGTAAAGAATCTAGTTAAGAAAAATTGTAAAGAATCTAGTTAAGTGATTAAACTCCCCACTAATTGGAATAGCTGTAGCTCTTTTAGCATTAGGGATGTTGGGAGTCTCTGAAAATTAATCTTTTCTTTTATCAAAATGTGTGTGCAATGAATTCTACGTTTGAAGCTTAAGCTTGCTTCTCTTCTTCCGTTTTCTGTATGCAGTTTTCTCTATCCTATCTCTATTTTATCAAAAATTTCAGATCAGAAAACTGTCTTAACCCTAACCACCTAGCTGCCCCGCGTCAGGCCTATGAAAAAAACTGATCGTCATGATGAGCAGCTGACTTATCAATGTATGGATGCAAATGAATGCCCTTTTATCTGTAGGGGCGGGCCAATTTGCAGTCTCGCAAGTTTTCCATCTTTCTTTTTAACCTTCTCCCCCATTATGCTGTTTAAGCGTGGATTCGGATGAGGTTCTCTAATGTTGCTTCCATATATTTTTCCATTTCGCGAAAAAAAAAAAGGATTTTATCACTTCCAAAGCAGTGACTTGCTGGATGAATTTTCTCTGGGAAAACAATACACCGGATTGATCTAAAACTTGATTGAAATGGTCATTATTCTTCATTCTCAAAATTAAAACCAACATTGCAGTGTAGAGTTGCTTGGATAGATCATGGAAACAATCTTCGCTTCGAATTAGTTCAACAGACATGAATAAAATTTCATTTCATCTCCGTTTAAATAATGAAAGTCACCCTTAATTCCTTGCCTTTGAACCACCTTCGCGGTGACACTGTCAGTGGTATTGTTTTAAAGAAATGCTTTGAGTGCTCTGCAGGTATTCTGTTGATTTTACCTTGTGAATGCCATTTATGCACATATCAACATTCTCTCCAACCTTCCCCATCTACCAAAACCATCAAATTCAAAGTACCAGAAAATGCATCAGATTTTCTTTATATTTTTCAAGCAATTTCGGTACAAAGGGAATATACAAAAGAGAAGGACATAACATGATAAAAGGACCTGAAGGACCACTACTTCCGATTGATTATAAGCTCCTTTTCTTCCCCAGTCTCCTATCACCAAAAAGCTAAGTGACCCCTCGGCTGAAGCTCTGCTGAGACAAAATAATGCAAAAACAGAAGCAAGCTAGGCAGACCGAGCTCAACGAGATTAAACAATGCTTACATGAACCATCAATGAAATTCAGGACCATTATTTTAAGAAATTCAGGACCAAGGGCTTTTATATGGTTGATAGAAAAATTTTGTTTAGTAGCTAGTAATTACTTTTGTTTAGTTTTTTTACGTGACAAATTAGAAGACAGGCCAACCTTGCATGGCATCTACTCAAGGTGATCTAATTACAAGTTTCCTCGAAATTTCTCATGAATTTCACTTAGTACTATGTTTTTTTTGGCACTTTTCGGACTTCAGAGGAAGGGACTCACCTGATGGGTGATGACCTGGGAAAATGATTCCATTGAGCACAAAACTCCAGCTTGGTTGTCATGTTATTATCATGCTATTTTTCTTTATGTAATGGAATTTCATATTTCTCAAAAAAAAAAAAAAAAAAAGAAAGGTAAATAAATTATCTCTCAACTAAATTATACCCAAGCACAGATAGAGCAATTTCTTTTTCTTTTTTTTTTTTTTTTTCAGTTTTTAAATGTTGCCTAGCAATTTTTATCTTGGTTTTAATATTTTTTTAAAAATTTTGATAGGACTTTATAGATTCTGCCCACTTTCTAGAACAAAGATGAAGAATGGTTAACATATACATGGAAGGAGATACTGTAAAAGTTTGAACCTCTAAAGTGATCCTAAGATCAAAATTTTAGTAGTAGCTTGGTTTATCTAAAAACTAGAGTAGGCTCTCTTTGTGGTATTCACTATTGCATGTTGTAATTTAAAATCTTAAACTTTTTTTCCGAAAAAATCAAAGTTTTAAAAAATTTTTTAAAAAAATTGCAAGCGTTAAAAGATGAAATCTAAACTTGATCCCATCCTTTTTGGAAAAATAATGAATTATTTGGACTAATTTTAAATTTATATTAATTATATACAAAAAAATAATTAATTGAGTTTGTATAAAATGGAGATTTGCAAATTTATAATATGATACAAAAATAATATAAAAAAATATAAAAGTGATATAATTTAAAATTTTTTAAAAAATATATTATATTTTTGTATTAATATAAATTGTAATATATAACTTTTATATAAAATATAATATAAATATATATAAATTATCACTATTTTATACGATATAAAAATATAAATTATCTTATAATTAAATGAGGTCAATTGATTCTATTTCGTTTTAAAGATAATAAGTTTATAATTTGTACTCTTTCCGTATTTTTGGATGTTAGAAAATTATGTCAACTAATATTTTTGTGAACACCTAATTAATTCTCTTTTGAAATTATTATTATTATTATTATTATTTTATGTTTTTTCTCTTCTTATATTAAAAACCATGGAACGATTAATTTGAGAAGAGAACAAACAATTGAAAATGGAGGAAGTATCTCAGACTCTCGTATATTATAATTCCTTTTTTGTAACTTTTATATTGACCATCAAATTAAATAAGAAGCAAAATAAATAAATAAAAAGAGTTCATTTTATTCATTACTCATTTGATCAAAATGAGTATATAGTTCCTAACAAATATATATATATATATATATATATTTAGAACTTATCTTTTTCAATTCAATTTTTATGCATCATTGACAGATTTTAAATTTCATAAGTAGAATTAAAAAATTGTTTTATATGCTTTTATTTTATTTTATTAATTATTTTAAATATATTTTAAAAACATATATGTTACATTGCTAATTCCCTAAGTAAAATTTAACTTTAATTGAATAAAATAATTTTCTTTTTTCTCTTATCAAGAATAAAGGAAACGAAGATATCGTTAAATTCATACATATATATACACCAAAGGCAAGTGGTAAAATTTGATTATAGTAATTTTTTTTGTTGAAATAATGAAGCACTATACTCAATTATTTTTTATTTTAAAAAATTTTACTAAAAATTATTAATAATGCAATACATAAAAATATATAGTCTCTTTGTCTCAACAACATCATTATTTTTAATTGATGAAATATTCTAACTTTGACTGCTTTTTGTCTTTTATATATATATTTATTATTTTCTTTGATAAGGGTATATAAAATATTGTTTAAACGTTTAAATGTAATAGTAAATAAATAAATAAATAAATAGTTAATTAATTAAAATAATAGACATTAAAGTTAAAAATTTTAATCAAAATCAAAGCAGTTATTGTATTTATGGGGAAACATTAGCCGTTAGGCGAGTGAGTTTAAGGCGAGTTAGATAATTAGACAATAGGATGTGGAATTTTCACTCGCTTTTTAAAGCAGTCGCCGTTCCACTCGCTTCTTGTCTCTCTGCTACATTCTCGGCGGCTTGGCGCGTTAGGCCCATCCTATTTTCTATCTCTCATTTTTTTTTTCTCTGTTTTTTATTTTTCGTAATGTAATGCAACAGTGCCACTTATACAGGTCACGCATGTGGTGTATTCTGTATGTGTGCCTCGTGCTTCCTATGTTTCATACTACCACGCCTACGAGTATTTTTTATTAAAATTCAAAAAAAAGAAAAGAAAAATTAAAAGATTGAAATTATATTGAAAGGTTTTGAATTTTAATCCTGAAATCAATACAGTATCTTTGCAATAAAAAAGAAAAATAATTTTCTGTTTTTGTTAGTAAAATTTTAAAAATTTTCATAATTATATATATAAGAGAAAAAAATAAAATCTAAATTCAATTTAAAAGAGAATTTCATTTTCAAAAAAATTAATAAAGTAGTACGTCATTTTCTGTGCTTCAGCTTTGGATTCAAAATTTCTTTTTTATAATTTGAAATTTATAACAAAAATAATTGAAAAGTTCCAAATTATAACGATTAATATCAGAATTATGCATCAAATTGAACGTTGCAACCTCTTTATAAAATGATAGATGTTTTTTAGGTATCAAATTATAAGCAAATGAAATGAAAAGGCTTTTTTTTTTTTTTTTTTTTTGTGTAAACAGTCATTGAGCTTTGGTTAAAAAAATGTCTAAATTTAGTAATTGATCAAATTATCAAAATCGAAAGGCTTTAGTTTTTGAAAACATAAATGAATGAAGAATAAATCATAGGGGTCGAAGCATAATTTAAACATATAGAGAACGTAAAAGTTCATGAAAACACCATTTTTAATGTTGTGGTTTTATTTTAATTTTTGTATATAATTTAGACTAGATTTAGGCCGGTGATGGATTCATATTATTATATTATTTATTTATATAAACGATAATATAATTTAAAGATTTTCAAAATTATACTAATCTAAGGC